ATTTGAAGAAAACGATGTCGCAATGGCACGGTCGTTGCACTGCATTACTGGAAAGCCAATTTTGATATCAGGACACAGTTGAATTGTAAATTATAGCTGAGCCTTTTGACAATTTGGGGCTCACTAAATATGCACGGACAATGACCGAATGACCAGACCAGAGGAATTTTTAATTTTAGTGAAAAACCGTTGTAGTATTTGCTGACATATGAGTCATACATTGTTTAAAATTCAATTGAATCTTGAAACAACAGAGTTAAACGACTTGGGAAGGTAAATGATTCAGAAGAAAACATGGTTCACACAGGTTATGTGGCTATCCTTTGTGGTCGTTTTGATATTAAGATACAAAAGCCAATTTCCTCATCGAGCCTTGTAGACCTATATTCAAGATACTACCATGTCTCCCTTCCCTTCCAGCCTCAGTTTGGTTACATTCGTTTGAATGAGTGGAAATGCAAGATAACTGCCCCATGAAAAAGGTCTATAATGCATCACATTCAGATGACTCTACCATGCACTGGCAAAAAGGCGGTTGTTGTTTACTTGCCAAATGCCAAACGTGGCACATGCTGATATGAAACCAACTCCTTGACTGAGAACGATGATATACCTGTAAGCTCAAGTCGCTCTGGCACCATTTTCATGGAACGTTGACACCAACAAATAACACCGGTAAAGTTGGTATTATAGTTCTTCAGAGAGGAAAGGCCAAAGTTACAGCTTTGCGAATTAGAGGAAGAAATGTCTATCGTCGTGATTAAACATCGATGTTATATCGATTGTGTAATTTGCCTTGGTATACCACGAAAACAAGGAAAGTTTTATACGACTTAAAATCAATCGAAATGTCCAGATTTTCGTAGTTTGTTTACTTGCCTGCTTGTGTCCCAACCAGTTGATCTAATTAGCTCATACTTTAAATAAGCGAGGATTTTTCGGCCAAATGACACTCTCCAAGCTTACTTGTAATCTATCATAATATGCAACAGAACTATGTAAAAGTTTTAGAAACACTTTGCATAAATGAAGAAAAGGGAAGAGCTGTCTTGCTAGAAATTCGCGTTAATGTAAGGAATCATAAGTTCTTAGGTCGAATTTTTCCTTTTTCCAATATAAAACTGCTCCCTCTTACAGTATATGATCACACCTCCTTTCAATGTAACAAGGTAAACATACCATAGATTTTAAATGTATTGAATGATACCGCTTCACGGAGATGTTGAACAAGTAAAAGGTAAAATTTCATTGCCCACTTTGACATTTCCAGTTTCGCGTTTCCTACTAA